TAGGACGGTTCGTTATGATTTGCGGTTAATAACAACGGTAAAGTAGCGACCCCCCATTCCATTTTCTCATTTTGGGCGAGGCGGAACATAATTAGATAATATATGTACTCATTATATATATATATATTATAAATTTAATGGTTTCTGCAGAGGTATGGGCCCTTCGTTCCATATATTCGGATCCCCACGAAATGATGCATATCCGAATTTTGACCGGTAGCCATCTATATTTCTTAGAACAACTAAAAGATCTATTTAATTAATATTTAAATATAGTGGTTTTAACTATAATACTAATATATTATTATGAATGGTTAATATTACGATAATTTCTATTTATGATAAATGCATTATTTTGCGGGAATATCGATAATATAGAATATTAAAAATATATTCAAAAAATTAACAAATATATTTATGAATATTGATATATTTTCGGATTGTAATGAATTTTTGTATTATATATTATATTCTTATCAATAAATTAATAAGTTCAAATTATCGTTAATATAATAAATATATGTCATGCAAGATAAATCACGATTTATCATCCATCGTACAATACAATCGTTAATACAAAATCACGATTTTCACGCGCCAATATATACATAATATACCACGATTTACACCAACAACCGCCCACACCAAACAACGATTTACCCTAGTCCCCGTTTTTACACCGCCCCACTATTTACACCAAACCTAACACCCACCACTGTTCATATAAAACCACAACTTACACCAACCACTATTTACACCAACCGCCATTTACACCACTCACCATACTACGATTTACCCCAATAACCACTTATGCCAAACAACGATATAATTTCGTCAGCAAAAAACATTCCATTATTTCTATTTAAGAAGAGGGATATACGAAAGGTAGGATAACGGGAGGAGAAGAAATATATAGAATATGCAATATAGTATAACAATCTCAACGACAAAAAGCACTAAAAATAACATATCATGTCTCTATATATATTGAAATACTTAGAGTGTTCAATGCCAAATTATCATCGATGTGTCGAAGTAATCCATTTCGGGATAAAACGATGGTGTCGAAGTAATCCATGTCGGGATAAAACGATCAGGGGGGAAGGGAGGGGGGGATATATTCAAAAATAAATTCGAAGGGGAGGGAAATCTACTTGAGCGGGAAATTACGAAAGGTAGAGACGGACCGGGTAATTGGCGTAAAGGCCGTTGTGGAACGGTGAGGAAGGATTTATATGTTTTTTTCGAAAGAAACAACCTGGGCGCCAGAACACTGTTATGATTTATTCCTAAACCATCATTTTGCATGTCATGAGGCTCCCACGAATAATTGCAAGGGCAATATCCTAAATCCTAGGATAGAAATATCATTGTTTTCCACGCATATTCCGGCATGGCAAAATCATGGGTCTAACTATTTGGGCTAAATTAGAGGAAAGGCCGTCCAAAGATTCAATAAGTGGATCGTACGCGTGGTGCTTGTGAAGGGGGAGGCCCGTAGGGCAGTGGGCGACTCGCGTTGCGTCGACGCTCGTTTGTGCAAAGGCGTGTCAAAAGAGGCGCGCGTAAAAAATCGCAATACGTAATAAGCGCATAAATATTAATTATGGTCCCCCAGTTGCACGCATTGCGTCGAAACCGCAGTGACCATCCCCCCCTCATAAGGATAGTGCTGGAGGGGTGCGGATTGTATTGCTAGAGATGGACGTCACGCTATGGTGGATGGTTAATGGGAAGGGTGCGTAAATAATTGTGTAGCGGTGCTCCACGATGCGGTGCGATGTCGCCACGCTAGGGCAAAAGGTTGAGGCGAATGGTATTCCGCGACGCGAGAGGTTTCTTCAGAGGGTTTTGTAAATAGGTAATGATAAATTGATATTCATTAATAACGAGAAATATGGTCTGCGAATGCAGCACGCATTGTGTCAGGCTGCCGGGTGCGTGCGCACAGTATGGAAGCCGCATTGCATAGCCTCATTGCAGAGGTCGTGTTGTATTACGCAACCTCATGGCCAGGGTCGTATTGTTGTGTCTGCTAGCGCACGATTTCACCTTATTATGCGTCGACAATATTCGCGGTATTGCTAAGGGGAAGAATTGAATTTACCTCTTTGCCGCAAAATTGGGAAATAACAAATAATGATTAAATCTAAAAAATAATATACATAATATCCATGGAATTCGAAATCTATAAGCAAAAATCAATAGATTTCGAATCCATTTCCTTAGTCGTTCAGATATAATATCTTAATATAATTAATTCCAAAAAAAATGTGCTTATCACTTAAAGATTTAGCGTTCCCCGGCTAAAGAAGGAAGCGATAAACATCTATTTCATAATTTTTGCTTCCGCGCGCATTAGTTATGTTAATATAAATTTCAATAACATCAATATTTTCTTTCGACATTAATATCAATTCTAAAAAATCCAATATTAATAGAAATATATATATATATATCAAAATACGATCAAAATAAAGACAAATCAAAATCAAATCCGAACAAATAAAATCTAAAATCATTACGAATCATAAATCTCAAAAATGCGATCAATATATATAATCATCAATATTTAAAAAAAAAATAGTAAAATAATATTTCAATAATTATAATAATATATATATTTTTTTTTTCATAATAATATTAATTAATGTATTTAAATTAAAAAAAATAATATTAAATAATCATAATCTATATCAATCCCCATTTAAACCAACCCCAATTTGCATAAAAATGTAATCTTCATCAATTACAATTTAGCCTAAATATATTAAATCAATATCATATTCCTAATCTTTTCTCCAAACCATTAATATATTAACATAAAATCCTTATCCTTCATTATAAAAAAATATAAATTATATAATTTTCCTCCAAAATATATTCTTTTATATATTTTAATATAAAATCAATTCTATTTAAATATATTATAAGATTGTCTTAATTTATTATTTGTAAAATTTATAATATAAAATATCGTGTTTCAAATTAAATTAGTTATTAATAATCAAATTAATACAATAATTAATATTGTTATATAATTAATCCAAAATATTATTATCATTTAAAATATTATATATCTATTCAATTCTATATATATATATGGGTTTGTATTTTTTTTAAGGTTCCCGGGCCGGGATGTTTGACTATGGGGTATGATGGGGTATGCTTGGGAGGTATGCTTCGGAAGTATGCTTCGGGGGTATGCTTCGGGATATGCTTCGCGCAGTGGGAAGACTAAAGTAGTAGCATTTCCAGAGGGTGTGCTTCAGGGTATGTTTCGGGGGTATGCTTCACCTAAGTCGAACGTCCCAGCCCTACATAAATTGGACACCTTAAAAAAAGACAAGCCCATATATGGATTCTAATTCATCCAATCCAGATGCCAGGAGAGCGGTAAGAGGAGGAATGGGATGCGTTGATCTTAAGAATATCACCCATTTCAAGGGCGGCAATATTGCTTCAGCCATCAAGCTTTTGATGCCACAAATAGAATATGGCCCGCCATCAGGCGACAGCATTGGCATTGGCGGCGGCGCTGCATGAATAGGTTGATTTTTAGGAGATTGTTGGTGATCGCCTCTTTCCCCATATGATATGTCCTTCAAGAAATACTGGGTGTCATTTGGCCCACGGAAGGTGGACCATTTGGCCCGAGAGCGGGAGGCACTAAAAGGCTGCCGTTGTTGTTGAGCACCTTTCATGTTCTTTTTGACATTGGATTTCGCGTGCTGGTGCGATGACGGATTGAGCTTTGTTGGAAACCAAGTCCTTTATAAAATTGCAGCTGCTACCTCAGCTCGTGTTTATGCAATATGTAGAGGCATACATTGATAAATTTGTTTTGTAAACGCTTTTTCTTTCATTCATTGGGCCGTCTAGTTTGATGGTACAGGTGCCATCTTCAAGAATCCAGCACCAATTTCTAAATTGTCAGCGGAAGCCTCAAATGCCTTTGTGTCCGACTCAGTATCTGCTATTCTTCTTGTTTGCAGGGTCGCGGTCGACGTCGAAAGCGTGTGCAAGGAAAAGATGCATTGCCCTGTCCAACTCGACTTAAAGCCCACCCTCTGACGCCAACATGTCCCTGTGGCGTCTTGGGAAGGCCAACTGTCAAGTTCCATGCGGGCGCAACAGCTGCAAACGCAATCGACGCTAGTTGAACCACTGCATCCACAATTAACCACAAATGCATCTATCATGTTTTAGGGCCAGAATTTGCTCTGTGTTTCGCTGATCCATCTTATTTGAATTGCTAACCGGTCCAGTTTGTTTGGCACTTCCTGCATGACCCTGTGCATCAGAACATGCCCTCCTTACGATGAACATATATATATATATATATGTGCCTTCTGCCAACCAAAAGATCGTGATTTTATGTATGATAATGCTCATGCTGTGGCGGCACCTACGCTGTCCAGTCAGCTGAAGCTCCTCAGCCAGTTTGCAAAGCAAGCTGCGCATACTGATCAAACGCCAAGTTGTTTGCATCTCAGGCAGGATCCTGTGCTTAGATTGAGCTCTGCATGGGGCTTGCGCGCCTCAGATCGAACATATGATATCCAGGATCTTGCCACTGTCAGTGCTCTTGCCATTCGAGCACTGCTGAACTCCTTTTTCGGGTCGCGTTCTAAAACTCCACGCACGGGTGAGACAACGGGTCTTCTCAACATGCGGGGGCTTGACTTCGGGTGGAGCTGCTAAACCATCAAAAGCTGTTCTAAAAAAGGAAGAAACAAACATGTTGGATGCCACTGACCCGAGCTTCAATTGTTAAAGAGCATATAAATATGCATGTGGAAAACCACCCAAACTCTTGCCGCTCGTGCCCCTCCGTGGTCAAACAGCCTGGCACTCTGGCTCAGCCAGGGCAAACTGTCTGCCGAGTTAATTCAGAGGAAAACAACATCTTTGTACATGCCTGTTCACTGCTCCAATCCAGACAAGCTCTGGAAAACCGCGGTAGCAGCTTGAAGCTTCGAGTGACGTCCCTCGTCCCCTCATCTCAAGAGAGTGCCTTTCGGAGTCAAGAGTGGCTCGATGACCTCAGCACACAACCAAGAAAGCCAAAGCCTTGCAGAACTACGTATACAAAACTGGTGTTAAAATTCCAGGCCATGAGCACTTATAAAGATCCAGGAATACTAATCCCGTGACCCTTCACCAACCTTGGCAGAGAATGTATCTTGAGTTTGCCCAAAGGTCTCGCTCCCAGCCACATCCTTAGGAGCACGCTTGCTTGAGAAAGGAGTTCTTTTTTAGTCTGCACGTTGGTGAACCAAAGCCAAGAAACTCCCACCAGAAGGTGCCATTCAGATCCGGTGGCGTCAACGGGCTGTTGCCGGGCCATTTGCGCCAAAGCAACGAAGTCACTGGGTGATGGCGACAGCTTGCCTTGCGCTCACTCTTGGGTTTACCAGGAGTCAATGCCAAGTACTTCAAATTCTCGCCAGGCGTAACTCTCAAACAGCTGCAAGTAGCAATTATTGAAATGTTTGGTTTTCCATGCCGAAATGCGAAGCTTTCGAGCATCCACAACCAACTTGTAAAGCACCTGGATGCGCAGTGTGACACATCCAACATACGCATCAAACCACGACCATACGAGATATATATATCTATCTATCTATCTATCCGTATCTCACAACTGTTTAGCACACCGCATGACAATCATAGACCAACAGTGCCACAAGGGCCAAACTATTTGCAAACAAGGGTCCTTTTGTGAAGGAACGTGAGTTGGATACGGTGGCATCGTTGGGATTGGCAAGGAATGCCCAGACTTCCGCCACTCAGACACCTGAGGCAAGCACACAATCGAACGTCACTTCACCTGCTGTTGTTCGCACATGAAAGATCAACAGCCCACATGCCAGCCTTACCATATCAAAATGCGAATCACAAGGGAAGAAATTACAGTAACAGTTTGACGTCAAGGTTCCAATCAGTGGCCCTGCCTCCCAGTAGTATGTGCTCATGTCCACTCTCCATTCACGCAGTCGTTCCATCTGTTGCAGTCGTCGCATTCTCAACATCGAACTTGGCCCACCAGTTGGCAAGGTGAAACACAACACGAAATCCGTCGAAATCCTACATCTACGGTCCAGTCTCTTGCCTGACCATTGGGGTTCCAAACTCACTCCCATGCTCCGGTGGTGCAAAAAATACGTCTGGCCACAGGGCATTCAATTGCGTTAAAATAGCATGTTCATAGGCAGCTTTGCCAGGACAGCTTGCAAAGAGCTCCAAGGTCTGCACTGAACCACTTGAGTCCGCCAGTTGTCAGGCAGCAAGCATCGGTTCACCTTGGCCTCCTTGAGCGGCCATTGCGGGTCAACATGGGCTTCTCCCAACAAAAGCTGAGTCAGGAAGCCCGAGCCATACAACCATTAGTATTATTCTGAAACGAGCACATTCTTCTGAAACGTACCTATTCTTCCAAAACGTACCTAAAAGCAGAAAACGTGCATAAAAAAAGTGGTACACATTTTTAGGTACCACTGGAGACTCCAGGTATTAGACACTTCCGGCGGATTTATTGATCTTCTGTGTTGAACACCCAGTTACAATTCCAAGCTTGCAAAGCAGGCTTGTCCAAAATGATTCGATTGACATATTTTCAGGTGCCTTCCTTACAGTCCATACTATCTGTCTCTTTTGGCCCCTTTCGTGGTCCCTCACTCGTCCCACCTGCTCTTGTGCCGAGACCTTTGCTCGACGCTTGGAGGGGTCCGCTTTCGCATCATCCTCTGAAAGCTCCTCCGATGCTTGGCCCGACAAACCGCTGGGCCAACATGGTGGACGACAGCCGGTGGGATTGGATTCTTCGTTTCCGTGTCCTTCTCCACCAGTTCCCGCTCAATCTGGACCATTTGTGCCTCTAGGAAGAAGGTGCGAAAACATGAACACCTCTTGTGGCAACAGTTTCATGTGCACCTCTTGTGGCAACTGGCGCCCAGCCTTTACCATGATGCGGGTGGCTTTTAATCGCAACACGGCACGGTGAAGAAATTGCTGCAATCGCTTCACGCAGGCCTTGCGTCCAGGTTTGAGAGTGGAAAGCATTCAGGGATAATTTAAGGTGTCTCCAAAAACCGCCAGACTGGTTGAGGGTGCTCAAAAACCTTATCAAAACGCTCCAGGAACTCTCTTCGTTGGGATCAAATCCTCTCCTCTCTCTCCCTCACTGCGGCTTGCGATGAAATCCTGCTAGGTGAGGTGGTTCACATCCGCTAAAAGTGACTGCGAATATCCATGTATGTGACAGGAATAAGAATGCCTTCTTTAAACAGTGTCCTTGGCAAAGTCAACACAGTGATGCACCCTGCCACTAACCCCTGCCCTTGAGGTCGAGCTGCTGCAATGTGCCGCATCATTCGCTGAATTGCAAAGGGGTGCCTTACTTGAGCAACGTTCAGTGTGTGGGTGGATCACAGCCTCATCATGTGCTTTCACAATCGATCAAACATGGTGGGCGACCGCGGCGACCACGTCCCACCAGTGCATCGCGCGTTGTGCAGCAGGTCAACCAACACTCTATGCTTAAGCACGCTACACTACCATTTACATACAAGAATGATTTGCGTTCACAAAGACCCTTAGTTTTCAAAGAACGCTTCTGCCTGTCCCCAGTCGCAGCACCAAGATGCCAAGATCGCAGCACCACTAGGAGACACCTGGCTGCAGCTCGCTGCCTCCGGATCCTCATGCGAGCACCAAGCCTGAGCTGATCGTCTGCCTATCCTCTGCTTCCCCATGCCTGGCCTCTACACTTTGGATCTGAGATAACTTGAAAAAACTTGATAACACTGGTTGAAGCCGCAAGCTCGTCTTTGACAAAAGGGCAGGTCCTAGTCAGCCTAGTCACAGGCTAAACTACTCAATGCTGACTGAACGGCGTGAGACGGAGTCCTTCCCGTTTGACCCAAGGTGCTGGTCCTCCACGAACTTCACACGCCCCAGAAATTCTATCGCCTCGCCACTCTGCAGAAAGGGCAGTCGTGGGCCATCTGGCCTTGGCAAAAAGAGCGCCATCATGAGCCATCTAGACCAAGAAAATTAAATAAGGACAACCTCTACTCGAGAGTCATCGCACCCTCGATTCGCTTCAGGCAAATCATATCAAATCATTACTGTCATGACTGTCATGACTCCCAAGCTCAAGTCAAGGCACTGCCGGCTAGAAGGGCTTCGTGGGCTCATAGGACTCATAGGAGATCTAGGGCTGGCTGGAACCTGCCGGTGTAAAGACTTCAAATGACAAAAACAGTTCCAAGCATACGATGTGAGATTCAACCAAATTGAATCACAATCAATAAATGCAAAAGTCATTATATAGTTGGCGTGAGTGAGTGAGAGAATTATATAATGATACATACATGAACCTCAGTCATGCCTTGTATTCCACCCAGCACAGAAACTCCAGGTACGGCGCCTCTTGGAGTACAGCGAGGCTGGCCATCTGCTCTCGCATGATCCGGGCATAGCAGGTGCCTTGCGGTAACTCGACGCCCCCAAAAAATACTTAAAAGGGAGGCGCGAGGGTTGAGATGGAATGACAGAAGGGTTTTTTCCACTATAGATCCCTTGGGACATCCCCTGCACCAGTCGTTCATGACCAAGGCATGGCTAAAGTGTGTCCAAGGCTGCGGCGCCAGACCATCTGCGCCGCGGCCTTCGCAAAGGCCTCAGCTCAGGATGGCTGATTTCTCCCACCAAAATACACACTTAGAACTCAAGTAAGGTCACTCATTCAACACTCATTCAATACATTTCCCAGGAACATGCGAGCAAAATGGTTGCTTTTCTCACAAGAAGTGCCAAGACTGAGGTTTGACGGAATGATTTAATTTTTGGAGCGTGCAGAAGCTCCTCCCGAGAAGGGAGGGAGGAGAAAACAATAGAAAAAACACTCTTGAGGCCCGTTCCAAAAGGGTTTTTCAGTTGGGAGTCCGCCCGATTGGCCATTGATGCAAACGAGTGGCATTGGGGCCAGTTCCACGGTTCTCTTTGACAAGAGTGGTGAAGCGAGCTAGGGACACCTGTCAAAGCCAAGTTCCAGCTTCCAACTTCAAGAACTTCAGAGAAAGGCACATAAATTGTCTAAAAAGGCAGCTGGGCTAAGAAACACGGAATACTTCGCTGGAAACCCAGGCGCCCCTTTCACGCAAATCTGCTACTATACATGATGGGCCATGACGGGTGCAGTATTTCTGCAATCGTGGAGTCCTGGCTCACAGGCCCAAATCCATCCAGGACTTTGCTGCTGCGGTGAAGGAAGGCAGCAGCCGCCAGGATCTGCAGAAACTGCTTTCTTCGCTCCTTGCACCATGGACAAGTGTCCCATTGCGATGAGAATTGCCTGACGAACAAGAAAGTCTACAGTAACACAAATATGGAAGTCAAGGTGACGACGACCGTGCACATTTGCAGAACGCACTAGCCCTTGAATGGAAGAGTGGGGTAATAGCTTGAGAACACCACTAATGCAGGCACGTCGGAGTGATCAGCCCCGATACCCCCCCAATTCATGAGCAGCTTCGTTGGCAGTAAACTCATGAGCTACTGCCCCCGGCTAGAAACCAACTGATTCCCTATGATTCGAAAGGTTTCACACACTTACATTGATGCTCGCAAGAACTGAGTCCGTGAAGGTAGCCCATTCTAGCGATTACAATGTCGGTGCAGTAGACCTCGACTTGCAGAACAGAAGGAGTGCTGGGTCGGAGAATAGAACTGTTTAACAAAAACGCATTAACCCTGTACAACCAATTGGTGCAAGTACACAATGCGGCGTCCCGCATTGCTTCACGACCGTTCTATCACTGTCTTCGTTGGGCAGTGAGCAATGTGTGACAGCCTTAGAAGTAGGCGTTGACACGCACACACACTTATGATTATGCGTACTGACTTGACAACGGTGCCACACGCCAGCCTAAGGAACCAAATCCTGAAAATTCCAGGAAAACCCTATGGAGCCTAGAGGTCTTGAAAAGGAGATGGGGCCAAAAGCTCAAGGCGAGGTCGAACCGACAAATGACGGCGTATCGTGCATGACTGCAGAACTCATTAGACCTTCAGAAACTTAAAATTCAAGCAGGTACACAGAGCTTATCAGGCTCTGCTTCCAGCACAAGTGGATAGCTTCGTTGGGTGCAGTTTCCACTGCGCTCTGCACCCCCCTGCTGAAAGGAAAAAATCAGCTTCGCAATCCTATATAATCCCTGTGATTTCAAGGGGCACACACACACACGTGGGGGAGCACAAAAATTAAGGGAGAAGCAAATGTGCATGTGCACACGCATAGAGGACAAAAGGATGAAGACACGAGAACGAGACAACGCAAGACAGATTTGTTGTGTGGTCGCAAGGAAGGGGAAACCAAGCGCACAGGGACAACCAGTGAACCATACGTCATATGAAGACCTGGGCAACCTGAAATCCTGGGTCAAAGGTAGATGTGCGCATGCATATTAAGGGCCGGACCGTTGCGCGCACAAAAGAAAGAAAGGAGTGCGATGACAGGACGCGAAGGCGGAGAAGACATGAAACGAAAAAGGACAGAAAGTGTGCGTGAAGGGAAAAGAGGATGAAATGGAGGGGCCGGAAACCAATGAAGCGAAACCTCATCAAATTGTACCTAACTAGACCTGGCCTGCCTTAAATTGTACACACGCTGTGCGTGCACTTACGGCTGCGACAGACCCCAATGGGTCTTGAGAAGTCTGCGACCGCTGCGGTCTACTCATGCCGTGCCAAACTGGCTGGCTGCTCTAGCCCGCTATGGGCGACTCACGGCTTGCCCTAGGGCTGCCTACTCTTTTTTCTGTATAATTGACGTTTGGCATAAGCCTCCTACGCTCGCTGCGAACTACTCTGGGGCGGGGGGCACTCTTCGGGCTCCCGCTGGGCTAGCACAAAGGCCAATCACACTCAAAACAATGCGTACCGAACTGAGCGCCCCAAGCCCTGAAGAAGCCTAAGTAAAAAAAATGCCTGGGTAAAACAAGTCCTGAAGTTCAAAAGGTTCAAGTCAGCAATGATCTCGACGAGCGACAAGGTGACGTGCACATCTGCAGAATGCACTAGCCCTTGAATGGAGAGTGGAGCAATAGCTTGAGAACACCACTAACGCAGGTACGTCGGAGTGATCAGCTCCGATATCCTCCCAACCCATGAGCAGCTTCGTTGGCAGTAGACTCACGAGAGGGCTACTGCCCCCTGCTAAAAATAGACTGATTCCCTATGAGTCCAAGGGTTTCACACACAACTAGAAAAACCGTCTAGAACGACGTGTACGCGACGTACCGGAAAGCTGAAAGTAAGAACTCCTGTTTCTGTCGCTATGAATTGGCTTGTGTTAGTACTTGTGTTGATCCGGATCCGCCCTTGAACCACCAGTGGATATACATGTCATGTGTAGATCATGTACCCTTCTAGTCGGGTGGCTTCTGTTGAGTTGGTGGAACTGTAGTCAAAGGCGAATCCAGACCTCCACTCGTACGTGAGCTGAGATCAACTCAGCGAGCACTCTCACATTGGAGAGAGATGTCCTACGAACAAGGCATTGGACGAAGGCATACGGCGTTGCTCGCCGAGGATCAAAAGGACTCGAAGGGATGAGCAAGCGAACACCTGCCTGACATGGCCTCAAGCAGGGCTCTGCGGTCACAAGATCCCTTCGTCATCCCATCAGCTCGCATGTCGCGAGTGTCCACCCAAAGAAGTGTCGAAATGATGCCTGTACTCTTAAGTTCTTTAATCCAATGGATGTGACCAAGGAGAGATTTTTCTGCTGGATATTTACCACTGGAATTTTTGATTGAGTGATATACACTTTTGGCATCGATCATGGTTACAAGTTTAGTTTTAAAGCCACCTTCTTCCCTCATCTTCAAGAGCTGCGCCGGTTTCACAGGTCCATGGATGAGTTCTTCAAAAGTGACCAGATACAAGAATGCATGGTCTGTGGCTCCAGTGAGAGCCAACAATTCGGCGCTAAACGTAGAGCGCACCACCAGTCTCTGTGACTGAGTGGTTGCATCTATCAGGTGGAAGCGCTTCGAACCATCGTGGAGAATCCCTTCACGAAGCACGAGAGAACCCTTCATGCTGTAACCCTTGGTCGCATCACCTTCTTTCGTGAAGGATGCATCCGAGAACAGCCACAAATCTCCTGTCGCTTTCATGGTTGGATAGACAAGTTTCTGTGGCCTTCTCTTCAATTCACGGGTCAAGCTGTTAAGCCGTTTCACATGAATCACCTGTGGAGCATGTGTCACACGTTGGAGTGCTACAATGTAAACGGCCACCCAAGCTTGCGTAAGACTCGTGTAGGCTACAGCGCCTAGAAGGCTCCAGTACAGCGCCTGTAGTGTTGGTGGGCATTGGTCGGTCGGCTTCAGGTGTTGGTAGTGCTTAGGATTAATCGGAATAAAAGCTGAAATATATTCGAATATTTTAGTCCATTGAAATAGTTCCGGAGCTATCACGTTCATGATTAATGCCACAATTCATGAACTTGTTTTCGTTGACTGTGAGTTTTCCGAAATGCTTTTCAATCTCTTTCATGAACTTTTCAACTTCAACTGGCTCACCAGCAATCTTAAGATCATCTACATGTTTAGACACTACCATTACCACTTCGCCATTCCTCATTAATACTTCGAGTTGTGGGTCATACGAGCAGGGTTTCAAACCTCGTCAAACCACAAATACCTTGGGTTATCTGGGCTAATCTTAGTGAGAAAGCCTTAGGTGCGTCCCTACAACCAGTTCCAGGCTTGAGGCACATCAAACACTCCGTGCGCTCGTTGAAGTCTTCATAGCCTGGGATCTGTCTCAAGTGCCTAGCTGTCCCTGCCGGCACCGTGAAAGACAGATGCTTCTCTGGTTCACCTGTAAGCTGGTGAATCTCACTGAAGCTAGCACCCTGCAAGAATGCTTTTGACACATCCGCCGAAAGAAACCGCCAGTGCTTGTTGCACGCGGCAAGGCTCACAAGGGCCTTCTGAGATGCACGATGCGCAGTCCCTGAGTAGTTCTGCTCTTCAGGTCCGTGTGGTTCGCGAAAGCCTCTCAAAGCCATCCGCATTCTGATGCCACGGACTCCATCCACGAACTTCCACTTGGCCACAAAACGCGCATCGATCAAGACCTTGGCCTCCGATTTGGGAATTCTCTTAAAACATGTATACTTTTCCCAAGTGCGA